AAATAAGCAATCAGGAACGTGGGGGCGAGTTTCCGGAATATTTTCTTTTTTTATAATACTTTTTAGAGTGAAGAATTTGAGTAAGAGTATAAATTGTTTTAATTTTGCTCGGGCGCAATTTATTAAGCAAATGACGCGTGCGAGGAATTTTCTTTCTGCCTTTCCGCACCGAGACATTTGTCTCTCTTGGGGATTTGCCTTTTCTCTCTCCACAAATACACTCGCTCCACTACCGCATAAGACACGCCGTTCGGGGGATGTCGAGTAGACAAATGAGGTCTATTAGCACTCGCAACACGACGCTCCGACGACAAATCTCTGCTCTTTCAATCCATTTGATACCTCACACGAATAAAATTGCTCTCTACACTTCTACAATCTACAGCTCACGTCAGTGCTGCATGACAGACACATTTTGAAAAATACAAATATTTCCCTCATTGAGGCAATGGGTAATAAAATTAATAAAATTATTTAATTTTTTTAATCTTAATATTTAATAATTTAAAATTAGAAATATAAGGCCATGAATTTGAAAAAATTATATAGCAACTCAGTGCGGAGGGCTGTGGCGGAATGTATCTCTGAACAGTTGATAATAATAACTTCGTTAGTGTTTACTCACATTTTATAAATAATCATTTTATTTTAACTTTTGTTGTTGTGAGTTACCCGTGACCCTATAGATTTGAAATGATACTGCTTCTATAGATTATTTTAAATTAAATCAAATAAATTTTATTTACAGTAATAATTAAAAAAATTGTATGTAATTTTAATTTTAAAAGTTTTTAAATCTGAAACATATTGAAATAAAAAAGATAAGTTTTTAACTACTGCAGCAATCCTTTGCAAATGAAATGGACAATAACTGCCATTTCACCCAATTTAATTGCCTCCCGAACGTAAAAAGCTACCGAATGAGAGAGCGTGCGCGTCAAAAGTGCATTTCCGTGTGTTCTTTTTGTGCTTGTGCCGATGATTGATTAATCAATACACGCAGCAGCAGTTTACATGCAGCTCCCATCATGCCCTGCGCAGAGAGGGACGAATTTCTCTCTCATCCCCTATCAGCTGCATAGTGGTCAATGAGTCAATCTGCACTGCTGCACTTAAACATGCAAGCTGATGTATTGAATGGGAGACGATGAATAAGTAACTAAAATGTATATCCGACCAAACGCGCTCCCGGTAATTATTTATTCGTGCGCCTAGGATGAAAGAGGGAGGATGAAAAAGAAAAAAAAATCGGGAGCACACGCTGCAGCATTTTATGAATTTTCCCTCTGCCGCTAATCTCGCCGGTTTTAGTTCAGACACACAATTGCAGGCCCCATGCCGAGCTATTCATTTTAATAACAGCCAGTTTGCTACTCTTTTTATATTCAGATAGCATCTCTGTGAGAGCCGATTGATAATTGCCGGCCATTTAAATAGTTGGCATTCCATTTCCAGAGATGAGAGAGTGACATATACGCGTGTGTGCTCTGTTATTAGTGTGATTACAGGGCCCGGCGCCAATGATAATATGTGTTATTTGGAGCATTCATCCGAATAAATTTGTCCGTGTGTATTCTCTCTGTGTAGATCAACAAGTGGTGTGAATGCGAGGGTGCGAAAGCACCAGCACTGGAAACAGCATTATTACCACTGTCGGCTGATACACATCCCTCTGCGGAACAAAACCATGAGCTTTTTACGCCAAACACAGGCAGGGGAACGCTTGGGGAGAAGAGAAATAAAATAAATATACAAACGTCGAGTTGGCGGAAAAAGAAAAACGAATCGGGGAAGTGGATTGATTTCCTCAACTGACTCCGGCAATAAATAGTAGTCGAGTGACTTGCACATTTTTTATACGACTTTTCTACTTCTGCCTTTCATCGCGTGAAATCGAGTAAATTGATTTCCGAGAGAGTCGTGAAAAGGTTCGAATTCCGCCACCGATTTGGCAGTCTAATTTTTCCAAATCGATTCCCACGCTCGTTGTTGTCAATTACTCGCGCGTCCTTTGATTGATTTCCATTCGGAAAAACGTTTCATCAATTCGGATCGGGAATAAATAAAAATTCCAACGTTTGCATTGGGGTTCAGTGCACCCGGCAAGAGCAGTTGTGCAAGAGAAATACCATCTTGATGGGTGTAAAATCAAGAAGCAGAAAATCCCCAAAACAAGCTGTGAAAAGTAAATTCCAGCGGCGCATCATCAAAATCTCAAGATGTGTAAAAGAAATCGAAATGCAGCCCCTGCGTGTTGAGAGCTTTGACAAAAGTTTCATTCGAGTGGCCTCTCTTGAAAATAAATTCATGGCCCACAGTAATCGCATCGGTGCATGGTTGACGAATTCCCAATTCTCTTTTTGTAACTCTCCAAACATATCAAATCTCGCCGTGTCGCACCTTCTTCCTTTGATTGTATTGCGCGTTTTGTAATCCGAAGTGTAAAAAACACGGCCGAGAGTGGTGCAGTTTTCCGTCACCTGGTGAATTAAAGCAGCGGGCGGGTGGATTATTTTCATTTCCATTGCGTCTGAATAGGATGCGCGCCCGCTTTTGTGCCACGACAAACCGGCGGCCTCCTTTTTTCTCATTCTCCTCGCAAATGGCACCGTAATGATGACACCCCGGGGTGTCAGGGGTGCCACCTCAAGCCTCGCTGCACCCCAAAAAGGACAAACCGGCAGCAGTAGCAATAATTGCCCTTGTTATTATTATTGCATACTCTTCAACTGAAATACCAAACGCGCGAGTGTTTTCTGCTCCAGCTGGTACACACGCGTTTTTCAAAAGAAATTTCTGATCTCGCACCCCTAATAAAACGGTTTTACTATACTTTTGTACAAGTTCAGCCCCTCACAAGCAGAAAAGCGACCAAGGAGATTATTTTTCTGGTCACACTATGCGCATAAAATGCATTTTTGCTCCAAGGGAGAAATGAATTATTCTTTGCTTAATTGCTCAGATTTTCCTTAATATGCTCACAGTAAGAACTAAGAAGCATGATTATTTTTATCTTTGAATTTTATATTGATTAATGAAAAAAATAATACCTCACTCATAGGACAAACTTGAAGAATTTTATTTGTAATTCAATTTTCAATTTTGTTACGCAGTTGCACCATAAAAAAATTATAATACCGTATTAAAAACTGGCCTAACTTTTTATTAGACAGATGAATATAATTTTTGAAGTTTGTTTCCTGTAAAATTATTAAAAATTATGATTGAAATTTATATTATGTTAAAAAAATGAAATGTTTAAAAATAATTAACTTTTAATACTTTTAAAATTGTGTTTTTTATTTAAATAGTAAACAATTTTTTTTATTATACCTTTAAACATTAAAATAATTACGAAATCAGATTTTTCGCATTCAGTGCGAGTTCACAGAGCGCTGCACGCATTCATTTTCCGGCGGCAGGAGATTGAGGTGCGCGTGTTTGTTTAGATAATTGCTCTCTCGGTGCTTTTAGCAGGAGCAGAAAATGTAATTATTTGGCGATTTGCGCCGAGCCCGGCCTTTTCCCGACTGCACACACAGACACATCCAGATTCACACACACTTCTTTTGTCACGCACTCTCATTCGCAGCGACAAATATTTATCCAACATTTGTACAAACACGCACTCACTTCTGCCGCCTGAATAAATTACAATTTTATTCCCTTATGTGAATGAATGCCCGTGGCGGTTTTAAGCCGGCGGAGCGATGCATTTCCATGACTGCAGTGCGCATTCAAGAGATGACACAATATTTGAGAGGGGTGCCGCTGCTTGTTGGTTTAAATCACACACGTAATAGAATAACAGAAACTCTCTCTGGTGGTCCCGCAAAAGTGACACTCGCGCAAATGTACTGGTTTTTTTCAGCCTCCTTTGTTCGAGTGCACAAAAAAAAAATGCTTTTTCTGCTCGCTGCATAAGTAAAAGACTAAAAGGCTCGTGCCTTTTAAACACACATTCAGATATAAACTCTATTTGCAGTTGAGGGGGGCGCGAAATAATGCTGAGGTTTATTTCATCTGTCGTGTTTGGCCATTATTATTCCATATTTTTCCCCCGGGTCGAGAAATATAAATAGAGAAAAATATAAAAAATGTGGCAGGGGACGATTTATTTATTTATACTCTGAACCAGTCAAACTTTTTATATGTGCGATTTTTTCATTATGAATCTCTCCGATTGATTTGCTCCGGAATAATTGGCGTCAAAAAGGCGAGTTCTTTTAAACAAAGTGGAGTAAAAAGGCAGCTTGTCAATCATTTTTTGAATGAAATGCACTTAAAAAGGCACATCTGTTTCGCTTCTCGAGTTCCGCATCAATTATTTCCGCCAAAAGCGCGCATTTCATTTCACATACACTTTTTTAAGCGTTTTATTTGCTGCTGCTGGCAGTGATTTATCACCCCGCAACAACGTATCAGATTTTGCTTTTTCCGTTTCCATTCACATGCAGAAGGAGGGTCAGAGAGAGAAATATACGAGATGCAGATCGACGCCGCGGCGAAAAGTGAAAACTCATGCAAAAAATCATCCGAATGACACAAATATAATAAAAGTCGTCGCTCGCGTTTCGGCTGACTCATTTTTCTAGGAGCGTAACTTTCCCACCCCGAACGATCTCGATCCATCAATTTCTCTCTTCCCTCTTAATCATAGTTAAATAAAAATGCACACATCAAGAGAGAGCCACACAGAACATGGAGAAACAATGTTTAAAAATAAAAATCCATGCGGAAAAGCAGAAAATAAAAACTTATAGCTGCACATTTATGCTAAAAATATCAGGGTTCCCATTCACTCGTCCAGTTGGCATATATTTCGTAAATTTCCTCCTTCAGGAGCTAGTGATGGATTTTTTTTGTATCAAAATGACTGATTCGTCCAAAAGTATTTTCGAATTTTGACGGGAATGGAAACCCTTTGGGCGTCAAAATTGTAAAAACCAAATGAACAGAATATATTAAGAGACTTGATATCAGTCATATGGTCAACATACCTATCCATCATCAAGCTGGCTCCTGCCCGGTATGTGTGGGAGGAAGGTGTCCTGCAAAAACAGGGTATATGCCAACTTTTATTTAAGCTAACCACTCGCACCGTGACAGCGAATTAAAATAAATAAATAAATAAATCGCTGGATATTAAAAAGCTTCCAAACGAAATATTATTAAAAAAAATAATTAAACCACGGTTAATTCAACACTGTTGGCCCCCCAATTAAATTGACCACTTGATATCTCTCTTGAATATATATAAATTCCACCAAAACTATGCGTCTGATGAGAGGTGCAGGATTTCCATCCCTTTTGCGGGCGCAATTAGAGACCATGAGAAATTCGGCACGTGATGATATATCCAAGCAAATAATCTTGCCGGCAGCTTTCTTGATAATAATTATTGCCAAGAAGGAGAGAAAGGGTTTTGGTATTTCGAGACGAGAGGGTTGCGAAAGGAGATTATAAACGCGAAAGGGGCAGATTTGTGTGTGTTTCCAGCACCACGAGAAATTATTATGATATGCGCACACACATTCCTCAGATTAGCATCTGTCTCGAGAAGCGAGACTCATCATAATTGAAATTTGAATACTGCAGCCGGAGAGAAACCGCTTGAATTTCGTTTTAATTATGCTTCCTTCCCTCGGCTAAAGAGTTTTTGTTTCCGAGGGTGTTTTTGTTTTTGAGTAATCTGAGAACAATTTTGAGAATAAAGCTTGCATATAAAATTAAGGAAAGAAATTCTAGTTGAATACAATTTTCCTTGGCCGCGATTCTGTATATTGAAGTCTCAAGGTGGTTCCATAACATTATTTCTTTCTGTGAACAATATCAAATAAAAACTGTTTCGGCCACGCAGGAAGTGCCTGAATAATGAGCGGAGTTATGCATATTTATGACCATGTCGGCGCGGAGCATTTCATATTTTTTTCTGTTCGTTTCAAGTGGCGCACGAATCGGTGGCCTTTAATGGTGTAACTGATAAACCGTGGCTTATTAAATATTTTAATAAAATGGAGACGTTGGAATATGTAATATAAATAAAATTTTCCTGAGAGAGCTGCTGTCTGTCACTTAATATTTCATTTCTCGGCGACGATAAAAAGCAGGGGCAGAAAAACGTATTATAAATTATTTAAGCTGTTAATTTATATTTCGTGTTTCTCATTCTGCGCGCCGCGCTTAATCGCATTACTGATTTATTTCGGGCCGGCCGCAGGAAGAAAGAAGGATTATCGCACCTCCAGCCACCACCACGCGCCCATGGCAGCTTCTTCTTCTTTTCTCACTCTGCTCGGATGATTTACTGGGCACAAAATAATATTTCCCCGCCGCTGTTATTTATTTAATAATCAATGTGATTTATTTACACCGACCGCACTTTGAAAGCGTTGGAGAAAATGCGATTTTTCCGTCGCCGTATATTACTTTTCCGTCACCACTTTTTCTCCACCTCTAAATCAATAGGTGAGATTTTCTCTTTCTCTGCTGCCAGTGAAACTCCGAAGCTACACGCAATCTGAGTCATACCGCAATAATAAAAACCATCCCGGTATAATTATTGCCGCAGCGGCACAAAAGGCAATAAATAATTTTATCTCTTTTCTTTGGCTGCTCCGGTTGGTTGCATGTTGAGCTGGCAAAAAACAACCCTTATCCACGTCACACGATATTTCACCACCCCGAGGGTGTTTTTCTCCGCACCTCGTCGGCCAGAAGTTTGGCCAAAACTTCTCTCCTTACCTGTCCGCTTGTTCCGAAAAGAGAGTCGGAGGGAACGAGAATTTCTTTCTCCCACGCAGCAGCTACCCACCTTTTCCTTTTCCTATGTCTATTAAAATGTTCGTTACATACAATAATATATAATATATATCCACGCAACGAAAAACTCTGCGGTTCGCCCAAATTGTGTTTCGTGCAGCTCAATCAAGTTGGCAGCAGAGAGTTGAAGAAATAAATTGCACCTCCGCCAAAAGTGGCACTTCTATTCTTAACGCGCCGGAACGCACCTGCTAATTAGGAATTCACGCTCCTCTCCAAATGCAAAAATAAAAAATAATGCTAATCTGCCAAATGCCTGCTCTTTCCGCTTTTAATAATTCTATTCAATTTAATTTCTGTCATTTGATGAGTCGGATAACGCCAAATTATTTGCAAAACAGCAGGTGCGGTTTTTTTTTCATTTTAATTTCGAACGCCAAAAATGTGAAAATTTCCTCGGAATGTTTAGGATGCATTTTTTTCTCATTCCAAGACCTTTATTATTTTTTTACATACCGTCATTATCCTAAGCGAATTACATGTAAAATGCGTTCACGCTAAGTGGTGATTAGTCCTCGCCGCTCTTTCAAATTACAAGTTCCACGGCTTGGGCACAATGATATAATTCAAGCCCTTGTTGGAATGATAAAAAACCGAGGCACTCGACTCGTTTAATTGTAGCATCTTCTACCTTCTGCTGCTGCTCAGAGAACGCAAAATGAAATAAATAAAAGGTTCTTAGGAAAACAAATGCCACTTACACAGCACACACTCCTGTCTCTCTCTTATTCTTTTTAATTCTTCAATGAAAACACAGAGCTGCCCGTGTTGTAATTACTACAATTACCGTCGAGCTCGCTTTTCGCTCTCCGCCGCAATCACACATCAATCCTGGCCCTGATTATAGCGCCAATCTAGCTGCGCGCGCGATTAACGTGTCATTCCCACTTTTAATTTATATTTATAGGATATACGGCTGCGGTCAAGCGCCGTTTACACCGGGCAAAAAATTTACCTGCTCTTGGGAGGGAAATATATTTTATTTCCAAGCCGAAAGTTCCCACAGTTGAGAGAGTGATATAATAAAGTGAAATAAAATAAAATGCTCGGCCGCTTGTAAAACACGGCGCTTTTTTTGTTGTGACTTATTTTTTTTTTTATTTTCTCTCTGTGAGCAATATGTTTATTGCCGGCGGTTTTTATTATTTTATTATCACCCACCCGGTGAAATGAACGAAAAATTTGACTGATAACCATCTCGAAAGGTTGAATGGATATTTACGAGCACGCAGCCAACAGCTGATCTCTCTGAATATTTCTCTCAAAAATACTACATCAGGAAGTTCAGTTTTAATTTATATAATTTAATAAAAAGATATAAAAAGTAAAACTCCTCTTTTTAGTGCTCAAGGTACGGAATTTTACGCTGTTTTTTGCACACGGAGGGAAATTTCAAAACACCTGGCTTCTTTGCAGCCTTTTTATATATTTCAGCGCGTCTTCTATCTTTCGTATATTTTTATTCCTCCAGCGGTGAATTTGCATACATTACCCCTGGAAGAAAGAATCGAGCTGTGTGCGGCTGCTGATACCAATCAATTTTTATTCCTTTCCAAAGTGCCGCGAATCGTGCTGTAATTTCGCAATAATTTATATTCTAGCGCAACCGGCAGAAGCGTTATTTTTGATTGAATGAGCAGCGCTAGAGGTCAGAGCATATAACTCGTTTTTCGACCGCTCTCTTCACGTGCTCGATATAAATTTTCGCGACCAAATGATTTATGCAAAAATTAAACAATTTTCACTTTCATCTTTTTTTCAATTTTTTTACACGGTAGCCGCGTTTTGTGGTAAACGAATTTTACAATTTTTGCTTTGCTGGCGCTTCACTCTTTCTCCTTTTATTATTTTTGATGGTTTATATAATAATAAAGCGTAACCGCAGCATTGTATTGATATTTATCAAAAGTGCTGTGCGCAAATTCATTTCACCGCTGAGAGAGTTTTGCTCTCTCGCCCGGAGTATTTGTTAATAAATTTTAACTCACAACGAGCTGCCGGCCAGGTTTTGTTGGCTGCTGCTATGCACACGTCGACCTCAAAAAGTGCTAGTGGACGAAACACACACAAGAGCAGGGGGTGCAGCAGATTTGGTCGAAATTATTGTGTATGGCAATAACGAGCACATGTTAAAGAACGCGCGATAAATAACTGAGGATATAGTTTGTTTATGGTTTAGAATCCCATGGCCGTGTCTCTAATAACTACAAAAATATTTTATTTTTAATAAAAACTTGGCTATAATTTAAATAAAAAAATATTTAATTATATTACTTTTTGTGTACTGTCTGATTCATGATTACATTTTATAGAATTTTATTTATTTAATTTTTAATTTTTTTGTTATTTTTAATATAATTAACTAAATGATAAAGGACTTGTTTTATTATGCGTATATGCATATTTTGTGCAAGATATTTAAGTGAGTCTGAAGAAAATAAATAATATTATGGCCAATCAATTTTAAAATTAATCAACATTTACTTGTACAGTTGTGGAGCCATGTACTATGTATTACAATCATATTTGAACCAATTTATAAATAATTCATTAAAAATTAACAACGACAAAAAAGTAATCAAAATGAATTAAAAAAGAATTGAGACACTTGAGACTAAATGCTGCATTTAATTTTTGCGAATAATACTGACTGACAATTTTTTTTTTTACATTTTGCATGCCAGCCGCCGCCGCCGCCACCACCACACAAAATATTCAAAATAATAGAGCGGTTTGCGGCCGACTGCCGGCTTTTACCTGCGCGCACTAGAGCTTTTAATATGGAATTCGCTCGAAAACGTTGTTCGTGTGCTACGGCAACATCTGCGATCCGATCAAATTAGAATCACAAAGACATTATAAACAGCACTCGGGACCGCAAATAATCGTAAAAGCTCGTGATCACGGCGGGTTCATTCCTGCTGGCGAGAGCAGCGGCACGGATATAGATGGTCTCGTGCGCTTAGCCTGTGGCCAAAATGAGGAAAAAATAAGAGAGAAAAAGATGCAGCCCCCTTAATCGGAGCGTTTCATTACCTCAATTGAGGCCCGACACGCCTTTTCTATGATTTTCGAGGAATTTTTATTGCCCAAGCCTATCATTTGGAAATAGCTTGGCAGGCATAGCGCGATCGATTTCTTGTCGGTCACACGCTGCTCAGCGAAAAACAGAGAAACAATAACTGAAGTAAATAGCACAATTTTAAATTTATAAAAAAGTAGCACTTAT